AGGGCCGCTCGCCGTCCTCCCTGCGTGCGGCGCCGCTCCGGGCGGCCGGCCGGCCCTCGGGAGTGCCGGCGGGGAAGAGAGATCGGAGGAGTGATGGTGACTGGAGGCTGGGGGGTGGCGGGCCGGGGACCCTTGCGGGGCCCGGGCGAGCCCGGGCTTGGTTGGGCTTAGGGCAGGACGGGCGAACGGTGGCGGTGGCGGTGGCGGCCACGTCCCGACTGCGTGGCTGCCGGTTGCCGGGTGTTTCATCACCCGAGTGGCCACGAGGCTTCGCCCAGGGAGGGATCGGGGCGAAGGATCGGGGGGCGAGGCCGGCCTCGGAGGCTACCTCTCCCCCCACACACACCCCACCAACCCCATTTGTGATAGTTTTGGAGTGCGTCCCACCAATTTCAGCTGTAGATGTGCACAAGTTGGTATGCTCCCCACCCCGGCACCCATAGGAGAGGGGGGAGAAATAAGTGATCTTTCTGCGTAGTAATTTGCCAGCACGAACAGCCAGCTCTTCTCTCCCCCTCCTTCTTTACAGCCTTGCAGCAGTGGTGGAGGAGCGTGATGTTTCCCTGTAACCTGAAAAACGAGTACTTTTTGAAAGCCTGCCTTAGTTGTTGCTGGGTGGGGGGGAAGTTACGTTGTATTAAAGCGACATGTCAACTTGATTGTTAAAAGGCTGGAACGATTAAGTCAGTCTCAAACGGGCTTGAGTAGGTGTGGAGGAATTTTCCACGTTGTTCGATGTTTGACCTGATGGCTAAGGAAGAATTACGGCTCCATAGTTATATTTCTTATGTTACAGTATGGTAAACATTTTATACACCCCCGGTTTCATCCACCTTTGCAGGGTGTATAAAATGTTTACCATACTGTAACAATGTTTAAGCCTGCCAGGCTCTGTGGGCCAGCATGCTAAGCGTCCAGTCTTTATTAAGAAGTTACCTTTTTTAACATTAGCTGTAGCTTTTCAATGTCTTATTCACAGATAAGTGAACATTTAATTTTGATCACCCTAGTGCTTTCTCTGAATGTGTAGATGGCGAGTGTTGGTGCGGGATTCCTTCCCTATGGACAACTGTAACAAGTTGGCTTAGGGCTTTTTTGTTGATCATGTGTTTCCGTGAGGCCTTTTTTTCCCCCTCTTGTCAAGATTAGAGTGAAATGGCAAAGCTTAGGCAGTTTTTCTCAAAGTGGAGGATGGAAATGAAGTTTTAGAAGGTTTCTCAATCAGGAGTTTACAGAAATTCTTAAACTGACTTTTTCTCTCTGAGCATTTATAAGAGGAATACTACGTTACTTTTCCTGGTGGAACCATTTTACTTTCCCATCTGTTCAAAATACCATTCTAGTTTAAGAATGCTTCGAAGAGTTCGTCCTGGGTGCCTACCTCTAAACTTATAAGCCAGCTATTAGAGGCATGCTTTGCCTACACTGTAGTCTTGAGGACTTTGCCTCTTTTCCTCTGGTAGAAAGGAATGCATACTTTTTTTTTGTCTCTGTAGCCTCAATTATTCTTTTTTTCTTTTTGAGACAGAGTCTCACTCCAGCTCTGGCTAGCCAGATCAACTGTATGCAGATATACCAGGCTGGCTTTGAAGTCACAGATCCTCTGCCTCTACCTCCCAGAGCAATGAGATTAAAAGATGTGTGCTTGGCCGGGCGGTGGTGGCGCACGCCTTTAATCCCAGCACTCGGGAGGCAGAGGCAGGCGGATCTCTGTGAGTTCGAGGCCAGCCTGGGCTACCAAGTGAGCTCCAGGAAAGGCGCAAAACTACGCAGAGAAACCCTGTCTCGAAAAACCTAAAAAAAAAAAAAAAAAAAAAAAAAAAGATGTGTGCTGCCTTGACTAATGACTGGGTTTGGTTTGGTTTGGTTATGTATTTTTCTTGTTTGGTTTTGTTTTTCAAGGCAGAGTTTCTCAGGTTGGCTGTCCTGAAACTCTGTAGACCAGGCTGAACTCTCAGAAATCCTCCTGCCTCTGCCTCCCCAGTGCTGGCATTAAAGACGTGAGCCACCACTGCCCCAGATGCTTTTTTTTTTTTTTTAATGACAAGATTGGAATATAAATCTTGGACATAAAGAATTACATGTATGTATTTATCTTACATATACGTGTGTGTGTGTGTGTGTGTGTGTGTGTGTGTGTGTGTGTGTGTGTACACAGCAGTCAATCCTCTCTTTCACCATTGTGACTCTAGAGAATCAAGAGCCTTTACCCCTGAGCCATCTCCCTGCTTCAAACCCAGAACTTTAAAAACCCCCCAAACCTGCCTTTTTAAACCCCAGGAACGTAGTGATGCACATCTCACAGTCCTTGTTCTTGACGGCTAGTGAGGGAAAACTGGCTGGCAGAGCTCGGGAGGGGTACCTAGTCCGATTGGTCGGGTCAGGCAGCGGAGGTCAGAGCCGGATTATTGCGTGAGGTGATCTGTAAACCGACATCGGAAGGCCTCTCGGGGTTTGCCCACACAGCTGAAGAGAGCCATGCACGCGCAGTCGAGTAGAATGCCACCTGAGAGCGGCTGTGTAAATAGGGTGCTGCTGGCCTGGCTGAGTATCGTGCGGAATGCTAGGGGTTGGGTGTTTAGAAGTGTCTGGATCTTAGTCCTGCGGGCAGTCGGGGATTTGGGTTGCCTTGCTGTGGTCTGCAGGTTGCCGTGAGTGGTGAGAGAAGAGGCTGGCCTTTATTCCCAAGGCTCTCAGCTTATATTCTGATGGTGATTCCAAAAGGGACCGTAGAAAACAGGGTAGTCTAGGGATCCTGCATCCTGGCCCGGGTCTCACTGTTTCTAAAAGGCTGCATAGGACCTCTGTTTGTCTCTTGGCCTCTTTAAGTGCACTTCAGTTCTAATAATGAAAAGTAGATAAATAAAGCAGCTTTATAGCTTCGTAATAGGAATGTAAGGCCTAATTTCCTTACCCTCACAGTGTTCCAGAAAATGTCATTTGTGTGTTTGGTGTGTCTGTGTGTGCTTATATGTGTGCAGTTGGAAGCCAGAGGTCTATATCAGGTGTCTTCCTCCATTGATTTTCACTATATAACTTAATTTTTGGCAATTTCATCTATGTACATAATGCATTTTTTTTTTCTTCTTTTGAGACAGGGTCTTAGTGAACCTGGAGCTCACCAGTTTGGCTAG